AGTTCTGAGGAAAATTTAAAAAGGCATAGAACTGAATTAATATAAAAATAAAATATATAAAATGTGATAAGATCCTGATAAAGCATTGCTAGTGGAAAATTAAATGGCATTGAATGCTTATATTTGAAAAAACAAAGGTCTAAAATCAATAATATACACTTTCACATAAAGAAACCTCTCTAAAAAGGGCGAAATAAAACAGAACCATGAAGAAGGAAGGAAATAATAAAACACTATAACCAAGAAGAATTTTTTCCAGAAACGTAAGGCTGGTTCAATACTCAAAAATTATCAGTGTAATCCACTATATTAACAATTTAAAGGAGAAAACAAAAATGGTCACATCAATTAAGGCGGAAAAAGCATTTGGCAAAATTCAACATGACTTATGTTAAAAATTTTTAGCAGACTAAGAATAGAAGCTCACAACCTCAACCTAATAAAGAACACCTACAAAAAACTAAAAGCTAACATCATGCTTAATGGTGAAAGAATTAATGCTTTTCTCCTAAGTTCCAAAATGAGGCCAGAAGGTCCTTTCTCATCTTCTTTTCAACTTAGGACTGTAGGTCCTAACCAGTGCAGTATGACAAGAAACGGAAATGAAGACATACAGTTTAGAAAAGAAGAAATATTACCATTAATATTGATGGATGACATGATTGCCTATATAGAAAATATCAAGGAATCTGCAAGAAAACTCTTAATAAATGATGATATATTACTTTATCAAAGTCTAAGGATACAAGAGCAATATACAAACATGAATCATATTTCCAAATACTAACAATGAACAACTTGAAACAAAAACTAAAAACAACGTCATACACAACAGTTCCCCCAAATTGAAATATTTTGGATATAAATTTTAGTGTGATAAAAGCAAGATAATTCTAATGAAAGGAACCAAACAAGACCTAAATAAGTGGAGAGACATACTACTTTCATAGATTGGAAGACTCAGTATTGTAAAACATCAACTCCCAACAACATTTGTTTTTTCAATATAGAGAAGCTTATTCCAAAATGTGTATGGAAAGGTAAAGAAATTAGAATAGCTAAAACAATTTTGGGAAGACAGAATAAAGTTGGAGGATATTAAGACTTGCCATAAAGCTATAGTATAAGACAGTGTGGTACTGTGGAAGAACAGATATATCGTTCAATGAACAGGGTAAAAGAGTGCAGAAACTGACATACACAAAAACAAAAAACTGATATTTCACAAAAGTAGAAAAGCACTATAATGGAAAAAGGAATTGTATTTCTAACAAATACACAAGTTAACTAATATCAATAAAAAGTTTACTGCATTGATATTTGAAGAACCTATATAAAATAACTAAACAAATGAATCATAGATTTAAATGTACACTTTAGTACACTTTTAGTACCTTTTAGTTCCCTTTTTTGGGTTGAAAGTGAGACATGATACACTGGGCAAAAGGAACAGAGGTAAAGAGGTCGTTTGTGTAAGGCTCTGTGTTTATCTAGCTGGTGGTTAGACTGTCTTTACTGTTTGGTGTTGCTGTAGGTGTCAGAGGCAAAATTTACTCTTGTATCCTTGTTAGTATCTCCCCTGTTGTCTTTGAGTTTCCCTAGAGACTCCTTATTAAATAAGTGCTGAGACAGTCAATTCCTTCCATTATAATTCCCTTACTATACAAAAGTCCTACTGACGTGGTGGTGAGGTGCTTATATGGGAGAAGAAATGTTCCATAGTCCTGTGATTAGGTCCCAGGCACAGTGCACAGTGAGCCTATGCTCCCAGGCTGTGACCTGCACACGTGCTTCTCAGTAGCCCGTGTCCCTGGTGGGACAGGAAGGCACAGGGAACTGGAGTTTAACACGTCTCTTTCCCCAAGTCAGTTAGGCTCGGATAAAACCCCAATACATTAGGCTCTGCTAAAAATAGTTTCTCTTAAGGATAGGCTTTAGGAAAGTAGAACTAATGTTCTGCTCTTATTTCAAAATGGTTACTTTTCCCATCGTCCTGTCAAAATCAGGAGGGGATTTTTCTCTGATCTACACCCTGAGAATCTGGTAAGGCTACTGAAGGTAAAACTCCTGAAAGTGGAGGCTCTCCTAAGACTGGATGTGGAGTTTTTAACTGTCAAGCTCATCCACGTTGAACCTTCAGCACTTTGACAATTACAGTTTTTAGGTTTTCCTACCCCAGCATTGGCTCTGATGGCCAGCTTTTACATCTCAGCTTCCCTTCAGATTAACTGTGATTCTCTGTATCTGCCTGTCTCCAGTTTTGAGGATCATAGTTTGCCCTGTGACCTCAATTCTCTGACGGATCTAAGAAGAGTTGTTGATTTTCAGTTTATTCAGCTTTTTTTTTTCTTGGTTTGAGAGTGGGAGTGATGACTTCCAAGCTTCTTATACACAAGTCGTTCATTGATCTTGGTTCATTTCATTTCCCTCCCATAGCTTGTCTGGGGATGACTCTGGCAACAAAAGTAGCAGCCCATGCCAGGGCACCATCTGGGAAAAGAGGGTGGCCCTGATCATGCCTCTAGGGCCCCTCCATGCCCCACTCCAGTCTCTCTCTTCGGGAGTGGATATCTGAGGCTCACTTTGTGGACAGGTCAGAGTAAGCCTCCCTCAGGTGTCTGAGGCTTGGATAACAGGCGTCTTGGGTGCAGTCTGTGGGACTGGGAAGAACAGTGTTTGAGCTCTCTCAAGAGAGATCTGAGTTTCAATTTCTGTTTCACTACATACTACTCATGATATCTTTAAAAAGCCACTCAACCCTGGCCAGGCGCGGTGGCTCACGCCTGTATTCCAAGCACTTTGGGAGGTGGAGGTGGGCAGATCATGAGGTCAGGAGATCGAGACTATCCTGGCTAACATGGTGAAACCCCGTCTTTTCTAAAAATACAAAAAATTAGCCGGGCGTGGTGGCAGGCGCCTGTAGTCCCAGCTACTCGGGAGGCTGAGGCAGGAGAATGGCGTAAACCCGGGAGGCGGAGCTTGCAGTGAGCAGAGATGGCGCCACTGAACTCCAACCTCGGCAACAGAGCGGGACTCCATCTCAAAAAAAAAAAAGCTACTCAACCCCTACAGGCTGCAGTTTATCTTTACAAAGAAACTAAACCAGGATAAGGATACTGAGCACTTACGTTGGTTTCAAGTAATAGGGAAACTAACTGTGTGGGAACGGAGACTTGGTTGATCTGTCGTGTGGACTAGGTATGAATCCCCCTCCTTCGGTGTAGAGGCCTGAAAGCATCCGGGAGGACAGGAAATCACCTAACCCCTGGAATGAGGTGTGTAACAGGCAGGCCCTCAGGACACAGCCAGCCTGCAGCTGCCACAAAGGAGGAGAATAGTGGCTCTGGGGCCAGTGGAGTGGCTAATACTCTAAACAGAACTGCCCAAGCTCCCCCAGCCTCGTGGAGAACATGCGTGGAGCACATGCTGTCTTGGTAACTCACTGACCTCTCAGAGTCCTGAGCAGCCCTGCTGTGAGACCCCATAACTGAGCTTACCACCAGGGGAGGCAGCACTTTCTCTTCCACTTCCGGAGACCGCTGAGCTCTGAGGCTGGACGCTATTAGCGGACATATTGCTAGGCATAGCAGTGCCTCAGTGGTGGAACTCTGATCAGAGGCAGGGACTGCTGGAAATGCCCCTACAGGAGTGGATACTTTGCAGACACTTTCTTCAGGCCTTACAATATTATTTTGGGATGAGAGTTCCTGCATGAGTAATAGAGGGTTTAAGCCGTGAGGTCCTGGTGTTGACGTGTGTGTGAGTCCATCTGTGCCCCTTGCCTGTGAGGGTACAGGAAATGTGGCCAATACCAAGACTGGGGACAATGTGCACTGGACCTTTTGGATGGTGCCTTGTCCACACGGACATGTGCTAAATGGGAGCTCTCCCGTTTTCTTGTGGTTTCTGAAGACTGGGGGTAGGCTGTGCTGAGACCTCTAGGAGTCCTGCTGGCTGCACAGGGCTGTATCCAGCAGGCTTGCAGGACGGACGGCCTAGGACACTATTTTGAGGCTTATTGCTGGGGCACTGAATCCTGGGTTAGCTAAGTAAATAAGGTAACACCAGGCTCTACCACCTGGAGGAGTGCAGACTTTCTGGGGCAGGGTTCACCAAGGGCCTTGGACAGGAGGGAGCAGGTTTATGCGGGACTGGGGGCTGGGGAGATGGGCAGTGGGTCAGGTGCCTGCAGACGTGGGGAAAGCAGGGCCTATGGGACAGGTGAGGAGGAGCAGGAATTGTTCCTAGGAGCAGAGCTCTGAGCACGGCTGACCTAGACCTCGGCTTTTGGCCTGGCATCGGAACCCTTTTCCATCTGCTTCTGTCAGTCGTTCCCAGACCCTCATGTTTTGAAAGCACTCTAGCTGCAGGCTGGAACCCTCTTCTCCTGGCTGGGATCCTGCTCCTCAGTCCTGCTCCATTACTTGGTGCACCAGCCACTTCCCTTTCCTGTCTCCACTGGGAGTCGAACCTCCCCCTCCATGCCCCAGGAGCACTGTTCCTCTGCTTCAGAGAAGCCCTTGCTCCCTGGCACTGTGGACACCAGGTGTAGTTTCAGCCCCTCTGAAGGCCTGGGTGCTTCCTGGGGCAGGAGCAGTGTGAATGCAGACTGACCCCTTCCCTCCCAGCTGGTGGCCTCAGCTCCCTTAGCATCCCTAGTGTCCCCCCCACCCCTGCTTTCCTCCTAGGAGCCCACAGTTGAGATTCTCTCTGTGAGGTCGCAGGTTTCTGCCCTGGGAGTCAGACAATGAATCCTATGGAAAAGGCAAGCACTAAGGAGAAGGAGGGGCCTGGGACGGCGGTGCGGGGTGGAGGAGGAGCAGATGACTTTTATTGGGTTTGGTTTTGTGTTGCCAAGCTTGATTTGGGGAATGGCAGTTGACAGACAGAAAAGCCAGGATTAGGAACCATTTAGAGGGACAGTGGGCTGGGGAGAGGGAGGGTCCAGCATGGACACCCAGGCCTAAGCAGAGAGAAGGGGTCAAGGGGCTCTGTGGTCATCACAGGGTCTGCCATGGGGCCCTGAGCGTGAGTGGCAGCAGGAGCCAGGTCTGTGGCAGCACAAGGGCTGCGCAGGGCCCAGGCAGGCCAGCAGCCCTCAGAGGCTTGGGTGGAGAGCGGGTGTGAGGAGCCAACGTGGGGTCAGGAAGAGGGGTGAGCCTCATGACTTCGTCGATCCAGTTGGTGAAGTAGGTGACCCTGGTGAAGATGCTGGGGTAGGCAGGATGCCAGCAGTCCAGGCCCCAGCTGGCCAGCCCAACCAGGACCCAGGCACTGGGGAGGTAGCAGACTAGAGGCCCCCCGGAATCACCCTGCGGACAAAGAAAGAAGAGTCAGCTTTGGGGGCTGAGTGTGTCGGAGACACCGGGTGGCACAGTCGGACGCTCTGCGTCCGCTCTCTGAGTCAGGGTCCCGCTGCAGACCCACCAGATAGAAATCTCCAGGCATCAAGCTCCTGAGCCGACCCTCAGGACAATCATGGATCTGAATCTATTAGCATGTGAACCCACCCTCTGCCTTCTACACCCGGAACAACACACTGCTTGAAGCCTAGAGGGGACAGCTGTATGTACAGGGCCTGAGAGGGGCCGAGTCTGCTGGCAAAGCGCAGCCAGCTGAAAGCTCTGTGCAGAGCACAGCTCCTGTGAACCCTAAGCTGCAGCAGAGCATCCCCTCCGGGGGCCCCTTCCTTTTTTTGTTCATTTGGGCCTTTGGTTTTCTCTCAACTTTTTGGTAAAGTATCTTTAGAAAGTGCCCATGCCCAGGCCCCGTGGAGACAGTCCACAGCACTAGGGAAGCAGGCAGTGGTCTCCAGAAAGTTGCTGGGAGTTACTGGAGTCCTGAAATGCTGTCAGGGTGAGATCATGCAGTTGAAAGCCCCCTATATCATGGGCCAAAAAGTGAGACCCAAAGAAAGGGTCTCATCCAGGCATGGTAGTTCACGCCTGTAATCCCAGCACTTTGGGAGGCCGAGACAGGCGGATCACGAGGTCAAGAGATCGAGACCATCCTGGCCAACATGGTGAAACCTTGTCTCTACTAAAAATACAAAAATTAGCTGGGCGTGGTGGCATGTGCCTGTACTCCCAGCTACTCGGGAGGCTGAGGCAGGAGAATTGCTTGAACCGAGGAGGCAGAGGTTCCAGTGAGCCAAGAACATGCCACTGCACTCCAGCCTGGCAACAGAGCGAGACTCTGAAAGAAAGAAAGAGAAAGAAAGAAAGAAAGAAAGAAAGAAAGAAAGAAAGAAAGAAAGAAAGAAAGAAAGAAAGAAAGAAAGAAAGAAAGA